ATTGGCAGACTAGTGATGATAGAACATTACCTATATTTTCAAATATGTACACTATGATGAGCAATCTAATTTTTAAAGACCGACTGTATACAACGGGCAACTTACAACTTTGTAAATTTTATAGAATGTTAAGTACCGTAATCCGGGGGCAATTTGATCACCGGGGTGAAATTGATCACTTTTAATTGTCGCGTATAACATTTTCGGTGATGGATATCAAGATAAATCTTAAAAGTACATCATCAATGAGAGACTGCATCATAACCCGAGCAGGAAAAAATAACTTATTAATACCAAATTCAGGTATGAAAATAGCATAACTGGCAACCTAAAAATGGTATTAGTGAGGCTGACATACGAGGTAAAATACCAAAAATAATACCTCAAAAATGTTCTTCGAATAACGAACTAATAAATAATTTAGTAATTACAATAACAAATTGATAACAGACGCTTTTTAAGATGCCAGAATACTTTTAGGTGTTATTGTATAGAAACTGAAAGATCACATTTTGTTATTTTGGTATTCATTTGATATTTACAAAATATGTCGATAACTGAATAATATCAACAGACGGTTTTTCACCACAAGCATACTGAAATCTGGTATCATACCATATTAAGATATTCATTTGTTATCGATTAGCTATCGGTTCCTGCTCGGGAAGTCATAACAAAAAATTATATTTCATTGAATAAATTTCAATTTTATAGAGCTGACGTTAAGTAGCATACAATATCAACATCCAAACAAACGATCTAGGACTGTAACGATTGATGTCATTGCCATTCAATTAGCATTTTTACCAAACTAAGTGTCAATGAATCCGAATTATTTGATAAATTACGATAGAATGTTTCAAATATCAAGAAATCCAGGGTTTTTCGAAAAAAATACCAATGATTTTGAATTAAATTGCCTACATTTAGGCGTAGCTGTGCATTTACGACATCTTTTTTGGCGTTTCTGCTGAAAATACTTTTCACACAAGGGTTTTAGCACCTGAATCGGATTCAGGGAACCTATATTTAATTAGAAAAATTACTAGAAATGCACTGGGAAGTTATTTGAGGGGTTGATCAATTTCACCCCATATCGATATTTCCTATAAATTACACTAGTTTACAAAACAACATAAAAAGTGTGAACTTTAGTGGTTGACCAACGTTTCTAATGCAAAATACTACGCTGAATTCAATGCCGTGGTCAGAAAAAATTAAAGTAGAGCCATTTTTGAGATATACAAAAATTTTGATTTTTTGGATTTTGGACAAAAGTACGATTACTAAAATGTCAATATCTTTGGAACTAGTGTAACAATTTTAAATCTTTTTTTATGAAAGTGAAGCTAAATAAATTTGCTACCGTTCACTTGAATATTATGTCTTAATTAAAAATTTAATTTTGAAGTCATTTAAAAATTTACAGCTTTTTTTTTTATTTTTCCTGCGAATTTTCCATAAAAATCTTGTTTTAATCAACATTTTTAATGGGATAAAAAGATTCAAAAAATCATTCCATAATTTATTCTTAAAGTCCATTAAAAAAATGAGAAAATGAGCCTTTAATGGATGAAATCGGTTGGAAATTGTCGAAGTTATGATTTTTTTTGTAAAATCATGGAAATTGAATGTTCCAAGATTGGCCGTTGTCCCGCTCCTAGGTTCATGCACCACTTCCAGTAAGCCTTTCTGCGGACGTGTACGCATATGGTGCATTTCACTAACACTACCAGCTGTCACGCAAAATTAAATGGGTTATTTTCAACAATATAATTTACGCTAGTGTTTGTGAGACCGCTCGGCGAGAACCTAACGCAACCAACTCAATTTGACAGCTTTCTTTCTTTAACATTGCTTAACGATGTATACGACAAAACGTGAATTCAAGTGTAAAAATGATCCTCAAAAGTTTTGTTACGCGTGTGGCAACTATATATTTACAAAATCGGTCAATTTCACTGCTTCGTTGCAAACTGCATGCAGGCTTTATTTTAAAATTGATCCTGGAGACTTTGACGAACCGTGGATTCCAAAAGTATTATGTAGTTCGTGCAAAACGTGCTTGGCTAGGTGGATGTCAGGCGCAAGGTAAATTGATTTTTTGAATAACTTTCATATAAACAATTTATGTACAGCATGGTAGTGCTTTGTTCTTTCCTGATCGACATTATCTTACTTCATCTATTTTTGATAAGTGTTAATGTCTTACTTACTAACTCACTTATTTGTTATCTGTCAGTCGCTATTTGTCTTTTGACATGCCCACCATATGGCGTCGACCGTTTTGTCATGCAACGGATTGTTATTTCTGCTTGACAAAAGTTAAGCAACAAGGACGTCACAAAACAGTTGAGTATCCACAAGTGGCTTCTATGACAAAACCTGTTCCACATTCAAGTTCGGTCCCGTATCCTGTTTATCCAGACGGAAACGAGCGCCCTCTGTTGAATCGACCGTTACAAAAAGTGAGGAGGAATTCAAGGAGGAATGCGAGGAAAACTTCGAGGTGGAATTGGAAAGAAACCCTAAACTGTTTACACAATCCGAATTTAATGATTTGGTGCGAGATCTCGACTTATCGAAGGAGAAATCCAAATTGCTGGCATCACGCTTGCAAGAACACTACATGCTGAGCAAGGAGGTCAAAATTTCTTGTCACAGGAATCGTCACAAGAAATTTGACAAATATTATTCTACAAAGGACAAGGCATGTTTTTGCCATGACGTAAACGGCTTGTTTGAAGAGTTTGGTGAGCCATATGATCCAGCTGAATGGCGTTTATTCATCGATAGCAGCAAGTTGAGCTTGAAAGCCGTTTTACTGCATCAAGGGAATGAGAAACCTTCTATTCCATTAGCGCATGCCGTTAATATAAAGGAAACGTATGAATCAATGGCTCTATTGCTCAATTTGATAAATTACAATCAACACAATTGGAAAATTTGTTCCGATCTTAAAGTGGTTGCCATGTTGACTGGATTGCAACAGGGATACACAAAATATATGTGTTTTTTGTGTAAATGGGACAGTCGAGCTCGTAAGGAACACTACGTCCGAAAAGATTGGCCAAAACGGGATAATTTCACAATTGGTAAAGACAACGTTAAAAATGATCCTCTTGTGGTAAAAGAACGCATAATACTTCCACCACTTCATATAAAACTTGGGCTATTCAAAAATTTCGTCAAAGCGTTGCAAAAAGAAGGGCCGGCATTCCAGTACTTGAAATCAGTATTTCCAAATTTATCTGACGCAAAGATAAAGGAAGGTGTATTTGTTGGCCCACAGATCAAAAAACTGCTCAATGATTCCGCATTCAATACAGTTTTGACACCAGATGAGGAAGAAGCGTGGAAATCGTTCCAGCGTGTTGTCACAACCTTTTTAGGAAATTTCAGAAGCCCAGATTATGAGGAAGCCGTCGATGAATTGCTAAAAAATTATGAGAAAATAGGTATAAATCAAAAATATTGTGTTTGTTACATATAATTAATTTCAAATCCTTGTATTTCACTGAACACAGGTGTGAATATGTCTTTGAAGATACATTTCCTACATTCTCACATGAATTTTTTCCCGGAAAATCTTGGTAACGAGAGTGATGAGCACGGCGAACGTTTTCACCAACAAATGAAGATGATGGAACGTCGTTACCAAGGGTTTTGGGATGAAGCAATGATGGGTGACTATTGTTGGTTTCTGATTCGAGAAACAAGTTCAAAACATCGAAGACAAAGTCATTCGATTCTCAATCATTTTTAATAAAACCTAAATAAATTTCTTTTGTATCAACTCGGTTTTAAATCTTGATATGCCTTAATCAAATTGATATGTAGAGAAAAGAATCTCCCATGAAAACTTTACATGCGATTTGGATGCTTACAACGACACATAGAAAAGGAACTCTAAAGCTGTTGTATTTCAGCAACATTTTTAAGTGTTTTACAAAAATGCTCATAACTTCGACAATTTCCAACCGATTTCATCCATTAAAGGCTCATTTTCTCCAGTTTTTAATGGACTTTAAGAATAAATTAAGATTTGGTTTTTTGAATCTTTAAATCCCATTAAAAATGTTGATTAAAACAAGATTTTTATGGAAAATTCGCAAGAAAAATAAAAAAAAAATGCTGTAAATTTTTAAATGACTTCAAAATTGAATTTTTAATTAAGACATAATATTCTAGTGAACAATAGCAAATTTACTTAGCTTCACTTTCATAAAAAAAGATTTAAAATTGTTACACTAGTTCCAAAGATATTGACATTTTAGTAATCGTACTTTTGTCCAAAATTCAAAAAATCAAAATTTTTGTATATCTCAAAAATGGCTCTACTTTATTTTTTTTCTGACCACGGCATTGAATTCAGCGTAGGATTTTGCATTGGAAATGATCATCACCTTACCGAGTTCAAAAATGCTGTAAACTAGTGTTATCAAAACATCCAATATTATAAGAAATCATGCCCTGATAGCTACTGATTTAAATACCATAAGTATTTAATTAAGTTTATTGTAGAAATTTATTTCGATATTTACGTTAATCACTATTAATTTGTCCCCGAATTACGGTATCTATTCCAAATCTTTGAAGTGTTTTCCTGCTGCACATTAAACAAAGCCAACCATCAACTTATGGAGACGCATTATCAGCTTCATTCACTCCACAAACAGTTTTCATCCATCTGCCGATTGCTGACTGCATTTTCCGGGTTGGCTTGACACTCTCACACACAATCACACTCAACCGAGGCCAATGTGTGGAAGCTCTCCAAAGTGTTTTCCTCTCACTATGCACCCTATGCGGGAGCTCTCAATGGGATGTTCAACCCATCCATCGATGTGAAAATGTGTGCGAATATGCGCGTGTGCTTTTTGCTCGTGAACCGCGAGAACGACGGCAGACAGAAATTCAATATTCAGCTCAGTGATATCATACTTCTTCAGCATTCAGTCTGCTCCGAGTTTCCATTCGTCGTCGTCGGTTGGTTCGTTGGTCGATAGCGGTAAACAGTCGCACCGCACTCACGGTCTTCTTCCGTCGGTTTGTGTGCGTGCATGTGGATGTGGATGAATGGTATGTGTGCTGGGCAGGAATTTGGTAGAATCCTTGTTATTTTTTGGAATAGCTGGAGTACGTGCGAAAGTGGGTGAGCGAATAGTCTCCATTCGTTCCGTTAGTCACCGACTGGGAGTGCTGGACGACGGTACCTCTGGATGCACTTGTAGTCTGTAGTCGGTAGTCCGTGTGTTGAAGAACCCGTGTGGATATGCTTGGTTGATTTTCTGCAAGGATATGCAAGTTTAACCGAACGTGTGATTGCGATGCTGTGATTTTCGGTGGGTGAAATATTTGTGCCATATTCAATAGAATATTTAGAGTGAAAAAAAATCCCTAGTCAGACCAACAAAGAAGTGCAAAAGGCTAGCGATTGTTCGTGCGCGTACGGTCCTTGCATCCTGTTGAGTGTACGCGTGTGTTGGTGCCAAGTGAAAGTATCCCTGCAGGGAAAACAAAGTCCGGAGTGCTCCAGTGCCCAGGTTGCGTGTGCTCATCGCCAAGTGGAAACAATTTGAAAGTGAAAATCTTCTGGCCAGAAACATTCCTCCTCCTCCGCCAGGATGTCCAACAGCGTACAACTATATAAATCGCGCACATTTGTGCTGGTGTGGCATTTGATCGCCATCGGCCAGTACTACTATGCGATCTACTTCGATAGGTATTTCGTCAAAATCCCGGACGATCTCAACATACCGAAAATGATGCGGCCCACCGAGTACGGAGGACGGTCCAAGTTTCTGACATACTGGTGTTTGGTTAGTATTCGTTTATAGTTTAATAGATGTTTTTTTTTTATATTCATATCACCGTGCACTGGCTGTCGCAGCAAACGGAAAGCGTTTATCTTTAACATGTGTATACTGAACAGACTCATCATGCATAAATTAGCAGCGTTCGCTGAGAGCCGTTCTGTGCAGTGTCGCACATGGGCGGCACCAGGGAGCTAGTCCGTCAATCTCATTAATGATAGTACACGCAAGTACATTAATTATCATATCAAAATTAATTTTCAGATGTATCTGGCATGGATGAAGTCAGAAGATCATCACCCACTTGTCTATATTTTACCTTGATTTTTTCGTTTTATTTTCCTAACCAGGGATAGATTGAATTTCTTTTATTACATCCACCAATATTTTGGACCAAGAATCATTTGTGGACTCCGAGTTTGCTTCAGTCACTTCGAAATTGTATTCGATGACCCGATTGAATCCAGATCGAATACCTCGATCAGAGTCCGAGTCTAAGCCTCTTCAACAGATCTGAGAAAAACTTTTTGCATGATGTCTTTGAACTTCAGTTCATATACCCTAAAAATCTCTAACCACCTGATTTTCAATGGATGGAACATTCCTAGTACTAGAGATAATTGTATCAAATACTCCATCTTAGTAACTTAACCTATATATACAGCAAATCCATGAAATTAAGTACCACCGAAAAAATGGGCTCCGATTTCGCTCAAACCTTGTATATTTTTGTTTCTTATCAAAAAAATGTTAGAATGAAAGTCAAATGAGTTGTAATATACTACATCATAGTTATTTTTTTCTTTATTATGGATTTTACAGTGCCGAGACCAAAGAGACCCTAGTTTTTTTATATATATATTCGGAAAGCTTATATTTTTTGCCTAAACAATATGTTTGAACTTAAATAAGATAAAAGCAAACAATTTAAATGGAACAAAGGGAATTCATTGATTTTTTCACATGTTCTTACTATAAAATGAAACCCCAACCGCAACATTTAACATTTCTAAAACTAATTTTACAGTTTTGCATCAGTTTGTTTTGATAATCTCGTTGATACGTAGCAGCGAAATAAACAAATGAGTTCATTATACATCAAAGAATACGCGTTTGTTGATATGCACTTGTGTTTGATTATCCAACCCAAAATGTTCAAAATCATTTTAATCAAATTCATTTTGGGAAAAATTATTATTTTGAACATTATCGACCCCAGAGCCTAAAACTGATATTATCATCAAGGCATAAGGCAATAATAAGGATAATAATAAGGAAACGTTCTTCAGCGTTATATTTGTGTAAAATGAAAATAATCATTTTGCATTTGATCCCCAAAATCATCCCCAGTAAGATGAAGACGTATTAACATCCAGCCATGAATGAAGAAAAATATATGTTGACTTCGATACTCAGAGGCTGCCTTGATCAAAAGAATGGTGTCATGTCAAAATTCAAATTCATGCAGGTAGTTGGTCTATCTGTTAAGGTTGTCTTCATTTTCAGCAAAGTTGAGTGTAGAAGAAATAATTTGTATCAGCACTGATCAGTAGTCTCCTCAATTTTTTCCTTGAGTTACTGAATGGTTTGATCGTCGTTGCTAGAATGTGCATTTTCAATAGTTCGATCGATCGATTGAGAACTGATTATTGTTTCCGCATCAAATATGGTTTCAGGAAACAAAAGAAAATAATGAATTATATTATAACAAATCTCAAAAATAGTCCTTTCAAAGAACCATTTGTATGGCAATTTCAAAAAGAGTTCAGGCTACTAACTGAATCCTTTAAATTTGTCGAACCTCTTAACGGAATCCCTTTATGGAGAGCTTTGAGTGGGTTGGTTTATTTCTTTTAAATTCCGTTATAATTGCTTATCTTTTGACAGATACGCGTATTTCGTCTACTACTTGCAGACTTCATCAGTGCCAAGTACTCAACACCACTAACTGAAGTAATTCTTTGCAACGCCGAGTTAACATAGATCATGGGTTCTAAATGCGGTAGTTTCATATGATCCAGCTGATGCTGCAACGTTGAGTTTATATAGTTTACTGCAAAAGAATAGCTGTCATCTAATTTTATTCTTTTCTCCGCTGCAAGATCTCGTTGTTTCGGATATGGTTTTCTAACAGACGAAACATTTACCCACTTAGCGCACATTGAACATTTGCACTTCAAAGTTGAGAATGTTTGATATGACATTTTAGTTTCGTAGCTGATGAATTCTTTGACAATAACATTTTCTGAATACCGCATAGGTAGAATACAGCATTACCAACCAGTCAATCCAATCATATCATCTCTTTGGTAGTTAGAAGCAAAATGTATGGGCCCAAATTAGGGTCATTTAGGCCGACATTACATCCATTTCCCCTATCCTTTTTAAATACCTTTATTTGCTGAAAAAAGACTGAAAATTGGTTCAGTACTTAAAAAGTTATGGCATATCTCACAAATTTTCTCTAAATTGCTTCGATCCTACCAGTCCAGGTTGACTGGTACGGGCACCATACTACAGAGTTGGATTCCAGAATCAATTGCACCAGAGCGCAGTACAGAGACCGAAGGCAGAGAGGATCGGTAGATTGGCAGGATATTTTGAACATGCATCCCAGCTGTCGGTTGGCTCTGCAGATAATATCGTTATAGTGCGATCGGAAGGTCAGCGCTGAATCCAGGACGCCGCCAAGATCACGAACTTGAAAAACACGCTCAAGGGACTGACCTTTAATCGAATAATCGTACGTAATCGGGTTGAGCTTGCGATGAAACGATATAATGTTACATTTGTGGATGCTCAACGTGTTCCGGGTGCACCAATCAGCAAAACTATTCAGCAGCAGTTGTAGAGCTTAGAAGTCCTCGATACCTTTAATTATCATATATATTTTGACGTCATCAGCGTAAACACACGGCCAGCCAGATGGTAGTACGAGGGAAAGCTCGTTGATGAAGAGTGAGAATAACAAAGGGCCCAGGTTGCTACCTGTGGAACGCCAGATAAGTTTGAAAATTGCTCCCAAGATTCAAGTCCGAAATAACGGTGAGGCTACGATACGTAAGGTATGATCACAGGAGTGGAACTTCGAATCAGAAAGTGGCTCCACTTATCATTTGCGAACACTAGCGCACCTAGCGGTAGAAGGCATCTTCGCCCTGCAGTTAAGATAGGCAGCATGCTATGATAGTGTGAGTGCACATAGAAAGCCCGCGTGGAACGCTACCACAACACATCGCTCGTTGAGCAGAAAAACGAGCACTTTTTGATTCACCGATTTGTTTGCACTTCCCCTTCTGTTCTGTGGTATGATCCAAACCAGCTAACAAGATCCGCAGAGACACCAATTATTCCTAGACGTTTCAGTTATATTCCTTGGTCAAATCGAAAGCTGGTTTCAAATCAGTGTATGCGGTGTCGATCTGAGCACCAGCATCAATGTTGCGTATTGAAAACGAAACAAACTGGACGAGATGTAGATGCTGATCTTTTGGGGTAGAAACCGTGCTGATCCGTAGAAATGCAGGAGTCGAAAAGTACCTCATTTATTATGATTTCTAAAACCTTGGAACAAGCACACAACGAAGTTATTCCTCCTGTAATTCTCGATGTTCTGTCGATCCCCTTTTTTTAAACACGAGGAACATGACTGACGTTTTCCAGCTTGTGGGAGAACTACGCTTCCGTAATGATATGATGCATGACGGTATGTCATCTGTACTGGACACAGAGTATTTCAATTTGTTTATTGCGGAGTCCACCTGATTCGACGTGATCGCAAGGCTTCTCAGAGAACAGACACCACTAGGTGTATCTCTGTAAGCTCCTGTGATTTGACGTGCAGACGATGTAGAATCATTGAATGCACTTCTAATGTGAGTGGCAAACAAATTGCACTTTTCCGAAGCGTAAGTGGTGACTTCATTGCCCAGAAATATCTCAACGGGTAACCCGTTCTGCTTCCGTTTAGAGTTGACACATTTCCAAAAATGTCGTGGATGTCTGCGTAGATTTTCCTGAGTTCATTTCCAGTAGTGTTTGTAATTGTTACTAGCACGTGGGAAATGTTGCTTGGCAAAAGGACAACGAGACTGGCAGTAGGTTCGGAGTGCTTTAGATCTTAGACGTTTGAGTCGTCGTAAATGTGTATTTCCCCAAGGTGGTTTCGAAGATGGCCTGCGCAGTGGAACAAACTCAACCAAGTAACTCTTCAACACACTAGTGAAGTACTCTACAGCAATGTCAATATCTTCAGCGGATACAAGGATGTGCCAGTCAGTGTGGCGAAGCGCTTCAAGTAATCCTTCAAAATCAGCGTGGTGAAAGTCCAGGTTCGTCCGGGAAACTCTCAAATTCAGTAGGCTGTGAGAGACTAATAGTTACTTCAAAGGCGGGATGATCGGCATCAAGAATAGAGAGCAGTTCTACAGCTTCTTCAATCTGGCATCGATAGAGCGTTGCTTCATTCACCAAAGCGAAATCCAAGAATCACATGTTCTGATTAGTATTATAGTTACCTTGAGACAGATCATGCGGATTGAAGCCATCGACTAACAGAGATGTGAGACTGCAATGCATCTACGGAAGGGCAATCGTTGCTTGGTGTGTTCCAGACAAGTCCCGATTGATTATAATCGCCAAGCTGATCGTTATTCCCAAGATGTGAATGAATCGCTTCTATAGACTCGATATGGTTATTCACGCTAAGTAAATCATTCTTGTGGTCAGGTGGAAGGTAAATTACACCAATACTAACTGAACAGTGATGCAATTTCAACTTAAACCAAAGCTGTTCTAGAGATACATTTACCGGAGTGGGATCAATGTACCCGTTGAAACTAGTTGAAATAGCGATCAACACTCCACCGCCACGTGATTTATGACTGTTAATATTTTTATTTATTTTTTTTTATTTATTTATTTCGTCAACCAACGTAGACTAGTACATATTAGAATACAGTTTTGTTTTCTTAAATTTATTTATTTATTTGGTCAACTTTGGACAA